CTCATCCATGAATTTTTGCACGGAATCACAAAAAGCGTAGGGAAAAGAACCTAGCATGGCCTCCTGATCAGGAAGCTTGATCAACATGATTCTGCAATCTACGTCATTTGCGAAGCACCTATAAGCTGGTTGATGTCCCGGTGCGACCCAACGAAAGGTTCGAACTTCGCCCCGCGCCGGTTGGCCTGCTAGCAAATTGCAGCATTAACAGGCCTTGGGCAGTGCGAGTTGCAATTTGAGCTTGCCGACATAACCGATGAAGCATGAGGCCATTATCCGTATCAAGTCGTGATAGGCACTGGCCTTCCTTGTATGGTCCGGATAGTGTTACGGAAGACCGGCTACTTCATCTTCCTACCTTTTCGGGTCAAGCCTCGATGTAGGTCCACTTCCATAGCAACATCCACATGAAACCATGGGCCGCTGGTTCAACATGTACATGCAGAAAGCGGAAGCCTGACTCACATCCATCGCGCACATCCATTATCTCGCTCGACTCTTCCATCCTTGGGAGAGCGTTTGAGTGCGTTCGGTAGTGTGAGGATTGACGGCAAAGCAGATTGCGCACAGGCTGCAGGATGCATGAGGCTTGTTTCCGGTTGGCCCATGGAGGCGCTCAATGAATCGACGTGCTGGTGCGCTGTCAGATGGCATCAACCTCAGGAGGAACTTTTTAGTCTTGTGTCGTAGCTTCCCTAATGATTCAAACTTACCTTCCCGACCCCTCATGTTTACATGGCGTATGCGGGTTGCTGATCTTCCAAGATTCATTCCAGCCCTAAAATCTCGGATATGCCAGAGCGCTTGGCATTAGTACCCGCGAAACACGGCCACAAGGGGCAGGGCGTTGGCTTAACATATTGGCAGTCCCTTGCTTGGGGTCAAGATGCCGTATAATTGACGTGTTTCAGAAAAGGGAATCAATTAGTAATTGAAAAAACATAACAGAGCCGATTGCCCGCAGAGATCAGACACTTCTGTTGAGGGAGAGGTTGCAACGAATTTTGCGCGGTTTATGAAGTGGAGTGTCTAGGGATGGTATGCCAAAGTCGGAGGGTTGCCAGGCGCGCCTTCCCAGATCAAAGTGTCCAGTCCATATCGTCAACCTGAGGCATCGGTGGAACATTAGGTAAACATTCCAGTTGCATGTATTGACGCGTGTAATTTTCACGATTTCGTCCCCGTGGGAATACAAACAAGCAATCTTGTCCTTGTTACAGGCGGACACATCCGCCACCAACGGCGACCACCGTAATTGTGCCTGAAGGCCAAAATGCGGGGAATCCATGCACGTCTCTTGATTCTTTCGCCCGCACCTCCTCGTCTGAGCCAATGACAATCTCTCTATTGCAACACATCCCGTCTTCTCCAGGACAAATGGCTTGCTCTTAGCTGGGTGATTGTGCCTGCTTTAAATAGTCCGTGGCCCGCCGTCCGCGCAGTCTACAAATTTCAACCTCGTACTCGGACCCGTGGACCATGGGACCAGACCTGGCTTGTACCCGCGTTCAAATTTACATGAACCACAATCCACACACAGTTCACCATGTTACGCACGCCAGAGCGGAAGAAAATCTGTCTTTTGTACAGTACGAGGATTTGCCATCATACCAGATGGTCGACACAGAAAACATGTGCCTGCTAGTCCTCCAATATGCCCGGCATTTGCCATGTCGAATGCCTAATAACAAACAAAGGAAATTCCGTCTAAAGTCTACATGTCGCTCCAAGGTCTAACTATCCGCTGGGTCTTCACCCTTATCTATATATCTATCGTCCCACCACTCGAGCTGAGTTTAGAATTCATTCAAGTCGTTTATTTGGACTCGTCCCAAGTGGGCTTCATGTTCCATCGCTGGTTCTCGGTGCCCTCGGCAAAAGGAACACCCAGCTCAAACAGCTTGGTAACAACGGCGGAGAAGTCCTTGAAGAACAAGTCGTTGTCCTTGGCATACTTTTCGGTCCAGGGCTTGAACTTCTTGTCCTGGACGAGGACCATGTCGGTGGGAAGCATCATGAGGGTCTGGGTGGTCTTGTCCTCGTACTGCAGCGAACAAGTCAGCAAGTGCTTCAAGAGGGGAAACCCCGAAAGAGACCAAATCTCGGCTACATACCTGCTTGGGCCCGTTCCACTTCTTCCACTGCCACTTCTCCTCAACTAGCAGACGGTAGTAATCGTTGGTCAGGATGGTGGGAGAGAAAGTCCAGGGACCAGAGAATCCAGAGCGGTCAGTGTGGCAGCGGCCGAGGGCGTGGGCGCCAGAGAGGGCAACGATCTCTTGGTCGTTGAAGCCCATACGGTAGAAAATGTTGCGGAGGTGGTCGGAGCCCTGGGTGGCATCGGGGAGACGACCGTCAGGAGTGCAGGCAGAGACATCACGGTCAGAACGGCCAGGGCGGTAGGGGATGTAGGGGCCCTGCATCTCCTGGACGGCGCAGACACCGCCGAGGATCCAGAGATCAGAGTGGGTTATCCAGGGGAATTTGGCTAGAGAAAGAGGTCAGCCCAAATTCTAGTCATGGATTCAGAGTCACACTGAACCAGCTCCTCAGAGACTGGGTTGATGCAAAACATGTTGATTTGCTTACCCTTGACAGGCTCTAGGAAGTTGCGAGCAGCAACCAGACCAGCATTGGCACCGTGGTCAGACTCGGGGGCAAAGCGCATAGTGGCACCGTTGCTACCACCAGTGCCGGTTTCCTTATCAAATGTACCGCTGGCGTGCCAAGCGAGACGGAGCAGCACAGGACCGAAGCTACCGTCATCATAGTCGTCCTTTTCTTCGAGGCGGCTGGCAATCTCGTCATAGACCTTCTGGTAGTCCTCCTTGGTGGGATTGACGATTTTGCTGGAGGCGGCGGAAGGGGAGCCAGAAGCAGTGTAGTACCAGAATCCGAGACCACCCGCGGCGGCAGCACCAGTCAGGTACAACCAGGTGGAAGACCCCTTCTGAGGAGCAGGCTCAGAGGAGTACCATCGGCGACCCTGCTGGCGAAAAGCCTGGCGAGGAGCGACGGCAAAGGCGTTACGGGTAGCGGTTCGGGTTGCCACGCGGGCAAATTGACGAGTAGCGGAAGCCATCTTGGGAATGTCAGCACGGAAGATGTTCTTGATACGGAGAGTACGACGTGCGTTCAGAGGCGCGCAAAGCAAGGGCCAGATTTTTCTTACCTTTACTTTATCACAATGATAAATGGCCAGACGGATGTGGAAGAGTTGTTGGGGGGTGTGAAGGAGAAAAGAAAGTGAGAAAAATCGCAGCCCAGAAGGCGAAGAAGAAACCCAGGTTGCCGGGGCGCAGGGCGACAAAGATAAAAGGCCAAGGCACTCCCGAGTCCCGACTCCGTTCGAAACATAGTTTAAAACCGTACGACAGTCAAGCATTCACTCAAGATCCAACGGACACAGGAACGGGGTATCCATCCAGATGGGCTTTGATGGAAATTGAGGCACTCTGAGTGGTTCGCAACGGCCTACGGGGACCGGCGTATGTGCAAAGTGGAGTGGATTTTCTTTTCTCTCTCCACAGGTGGATGAGGTGATGCGATACGGAGTACCTAGACGCGCGAATCCCCAGGCAAGGATGGCCAGAAGGGTTGTTCGAGCTCATGCTTGTAAATTGATGGCATTTGTTTCGACGAGCGTCTGTTTGGGCCTCGGAGCGCGCGCACAGCACGGTAAGTGAGTGAGCACATGGTGAGTGAGTAGTGGACAACTGAGGTTTATGATGGGACTGGCAACAACGTCGGCTTTGACAATTCTTTCTGCTCAACCGAGTCTCAGGGTTCCAAAGAGCTGTCCTCGCACGCACGTGTGATTGTGATTGTGAATGTGAATGCAAAGCAAAGTGGCAACCGCTCAGTATAGCCGAAAACCGGGCAGCTCTGACATCTGCTGTTGGCAGGCGCATTAATAATATTCACAAGTAAACGTCTGTTCACAAGGCGCAGAGAAACGTATTGGCCAATTGCCGCGGCGTCTGAATGCCTGAACTTGACCGGAAGCAGGAGGACCCCGGCGCACTGATACATTTCCAGTAATCTCGCGCAAACGCCGTCTGAAAAAAATGCGACGATGCCACGCCACGGTCAGTCTGCGGGACCCACAAATTTTGCTGGGTCCCAAGTTGAAGTCACAAGGTGAAACGAAACCACATGCAGGAACTGAATCTGATAGTGGCGGCTTTTTGGGCCAACAGTCCCCTGGGCCCTGAGCACTCTAGGTTTTTAACTTGTGGTGTGTGTTGGGTTAATTTGTTATGCTTATTCGCATCCTTGTTGCTCTTGCAAGGCTCGGCATACTTGCAGAACATACAAACTATACCCCTGAGCAATATAAGCTGTATAAATTGATGCAATATAAAAATTAAGAAAATTGAAAAATAAAATAAAAAAAGACATAATAGAATCTAGAATATACGGACGTTTTCCAGTTTCAAGTATTGTGAGATTGAGGGTATTTGAGTTATTCGCATAGCACTCACAGAGTGACACTCCCAAAGCTGTATTAATCGAGCATATGTAAAGACTCTTGGAGAGGCGACTAATTGCGTCCCGTATAAACTGGACACTTTACTTTCTGGCAGTTTAGCACAAATATTTACTAATTATGTTTTTCCCACCCATTCCGATATTCATGCTGGCACTGCATCAAGTAAAGCCCAATTACACAAACATCGTGTGCCTGGTGTACGTAAACTAGAGAACCGTCGTCAAGAGGGCAGAAATCACGGTTGTCAACTGCAATATACCCTCTTCGCATGCACCATGTGTACTTGTCAGACGATGGGGCCATGTATCATGACATTGTAGTTTAGATTGTGGTAAAAACGAATGTAGGTGACTTCAACATAGGAAAAATATCCCGCAGCCGACAAACAACATCCGAAACGTGCATTTCCTCAAAACCAACTTCCAACTCTAGCCAACTCTCTGGCCAAAGTATGCCCGTTCTCAACTGCAGACCCGAACCCGTCACATCAGGGGATCCGACCCAAGTACTAAGCGCGCTCGCCGCCCCCTGATTCTGTTTTCTGCTTTGTTTTCTGCTTCAAGGCCGCCATCTTCGCCCTCAGCTCTTCCACCTTTTGGAGATCGACGGGTCTGCCATTACCATTCACAAACCTCTTCGCAAGCTTCTCCGCGAGTTCCTCGTCCTTGAAGAATGCCTTAAAAATGTCTCTGCTGCCTCTTAGGAGAGACTGGGGTGGCCAAATGATCATGTCCTCTTCGTCAGGACTTGGTGAAGACACTGTTCCATCAGCGTCGATATTCGAATCCCGCTCCTGAAGAAACTCGTTGCGTCGCGTAAACGGGCGTGCCCTCAACAGGTCGAGCTGGGTTATGATTTTGTCGGCAGACACACGCTGACCAGCAATTTTGACGAGCTGGGGAACCCATACGTCCTGTTTGGTCTTGTCGTCTTTGAAGATTTTCATCAGACGGGAGGTCAGCTCCTGTTTATCGGAGACTTGCACCACCTGACGAGATTTTTGACGTGCACGCTCCTCCGTGTCGCTGGAGCAATCTTCCGGAAAAGCCCTGGTATGTAACATGCGCCCGGCATCTCTCCTCAAGCGAGCTTTCTCTTCATTCGAGATTTCTGTTGTGATACCCTCCTTGCTGTAGATTCCATCCGAGGGGGGTAGCATTGGCATCCCGGTGTTTGGGTTGGAGGTTTGTTCTTCCATGGCCGCTCTTTGCCCGGATTTTTCAGATTTTGTAGTGTGAGTCCCCTTTCTATCTGGCTATCAAGCCAAATCCTCGTCGGGGGAGGTGATGTTGTAGGGGTGTGCCGTAAAAGTGTAGTCAAGTGAAGAAGAAGGAGAAGTGTAGCTCTGATGGGAGATGTGGTGGTCTGGAAATCTGGAGGACCAAGTTGTTGAGAAGAGCCTGCGGCCACAGGACCCTTTAAATAGTAAATTTCTGGATTCCATGGCAAGAATCACAGCGCCTGCTCCTCATGCAGGACTACTTGTTCGTAATCTGTTCACATGGAGACCGTGGCAGCATTTCTGCTTATCACGCCCTGTTCAGGCAAGGTCTTGGGGTCTTGTGTTGGCTGGAAACCACACGCCAAACACTCTTGCCAGGGAGATCTAGATTACCAGAGTCAGCCTTGTGGCTGTGTTGAAAAGTTTCATGTTGAGCTCGCGTGCTGCCATGTTCACTGGGCTTTGGCTTCATCTTTGACGCAGGCTCATGTTCGATATGCACGCTGTGCTTACACCATTGCCATATCTATTATTGGACTGCCAACAGGCAACGAACATGAGTCTCAATGTCTCATGTATAGAAAAGAATACAGGACAGCCCTTGTTCCAGATGCCTAGATAGAGCAGATGGTGGGTAGTTGAAGCAGGATGAATGATGTATGCGCTGTAAGCACTGCATTGCTTTAACCCCCTGCATCTAACGTCCACCTGACCATTGTACAGATAGTAAACTGGCAAAACACTTCTCCTGAGCAAGAGCCAGATCGGTCTTGCCAACAAAATGTTGATACCTTTCAGGCAGCAGAAGGCATATATCATTTCATCGAGTAAAAATAGCTCCATCTCGTCACATATCATTACGACCGTCACATCTCGCCAGTCCAGCAAACGAGAGAAACCGAAGCAGAACAGACATCATATCCACGATATTCACTTCCTCCTCGGTGAAATATGTCTTCTGCCATGCGTCGTGCAACCACCCTGAGCGCAGTGAGCAGCAGTCTAGACTTCATGATGCTCCGATACGAACCCATTCTCCCCAAGGCAAGTTGTGCAAATCGCACCCAACACAGACACCCAGCTCCAAAAACCAGATACGCATCATCATACAATGTTCATAATAACCATTACAAATATTCCCAATTTACCGTCCTCCACCACCTGCAGCCGGCCAGCCAGCCACTATCAACGTTGGATATCCCCCTCCCCGTGCTTCAAATCTAAGCACCGCGCAAAAACACTCGCCGAAACGTCGACCCAACGCCCCGTCTGCTTCTAAACAGCTTTCTAGCACTCCTTTTCTCCTTCTTCCTCTTCTTGTCGCGGCACCCCTCGCCAAAACACTCGATAACAAGGTCGTTGTACTCTTTCAGAACGCTCTCCTTATCCGCCTGAATGGACACCCTAATAACCACATTGGAACGCTTGCCCTCCTTATAGTACAATTCTTCAAACTCGTACGAGACCGAGGGAGGCTTTTCATAGCCGTCGTCGTCTGTCTCGGGCGCAAGCTTCTTCAAGTGAGCGGCGGCAATCAGTTTCCCGGATTCAGGGGCGAGCTGAATCTTTCGCTTGGCGAATACATCTGCGGGCGGTTAGTATTGACAGATACGTGGAACAGGGCAAATGGTAGTCTACTTGCTCTTTATTCGTTGCATGTTGAGCGGCGCGTGACGTGTTGCCCGGAGTTAGGACCCTGGCGACTCGGGGTGGTATGTATAAATGATAATGTTGACGGAGTACATGAGTGTATACCCTGCTCCGACGAGGGCAGGCATAAATCTGTTTAAATGTACAGGTGCGCATGGAGATTGTGTTCTAACATTGCTATAGTGACGGTGCGACAAAGACACAAAGACGGACTTCGTGCTCATTCTTGTTGAAAATCGCATGACTTGGTCTTTGTCTGCCTGCCTTGTATTCTGCATCTGCAGGCCATGCAGGGCCCTAAAGCACTGAGGGGAAGACTAAAAGGAAAAGATTCTTGATTTTTTTTTCTTCAAAGGGCGCAGTATTTGTCTCTCTGTTCAGAGCGTTTTACATTGTGCGCTTGCAGTCATCGGGTATTGGGCGGCCTGCTCAACAAAGGCGTCATGGAGTTTGAACCCGCTTGGTAGCATTCACTACATGCGAGCGCAAGATGTTTAGGCAATCACAAATGTATCATGCGGTACTCAATTAATTTCTGGTCGTCATAGAGATTTTTTTGGTAATTCCAAGATGCATGTTCACGGTGCCTCACATGCCTAGTCATACTTGTGTTGGTGTTGTACATCAGCTTCGCGCTCCGTCGAGTGGCCATCATCATCCATCAACAGATTCTGTCATTTGGGTCTTCGATTGAAGGACGAAAGATACAATACCGATATTCGAGTCTGGGTCAGGTGGCATCTCATGAAAAATGGCTACAAAAGCCTCGCAGTGAAAGACATCCCAGCCAAGCAAGCCTTTGACATTTTCCTTTGGCTCTTTGTGCTTACATACCGCTTTCACAAACACTCTTGCATCACGACAATGTAAAACGTCGTCTACTATACGTGTTCACTGACTGCGCCGCTATATGAGTGTCTCGTTTCCGATTTATTCTGTATCAATCTTTCACATCACTATTTCACTACACCGTCCACCCTTTCAACAGCTGCAACCCCAACCCTCATGCCCCTCGGGCAAACTGGACCAACCTTGCGTTCTGAACGATCAATCTCACATCCAAAGGCAGAAGCCTCGCACAGGCATCTTCATTGATACCATACAAAGAGCGGCCGTCATATACGCGTGTCCAGAACTAAGCCATGCGCGTCGTATTGAACAGGCGGTGGCCGGTATCCGTACCCCTGAATCCGGTAAACTTATTCTCCGACAAACGAAGCGCTCCGATATGAACGCCATGCTCTTCCATGACGCTGACAAGGGCGTGTCCCTGCATGACAGCATCTGTTTGGACCACGCCTGCCACAACGACGATTCGTATATCCTTGCACAACTTCCGCGTTCGTTCGATGAACTCGATCAATGTTGTGCCACTGTTTATCACCGAGTCAACAAGAACCACAGTCTTTTGCTTCTCAACATGGTCCTTTCGAATGTCGTCCGGAGAGGCGGCATGAACAAACATGGCAAGAGGCAAAGCTTCATTCAACCCCAAAGCCAGAGGCTCACCGCCGCGCATCAGGGCAACAATGGTGGTTTCTCGCTCATGTCGGACGCGGTGACCCATGACATGATGGCCTTGCACATGCCTCATGGCATACTCCTCGACCCCCAGCACCTCTGACAGGAATTCCCAAGCAAGATAGAGCCCTACATTGGCGTGGGCTTTCCTCAACATCGGGCCGGCAACCGAGGCATCCCGAGTCGGGGACATGAGCAACTTTGCAGCGTTCCTGTCAGTGGCGTGCCAAACATGTGGGTGTAGACGGCGTCGACGAGAAAATACAGAGTCCAGAAGTTCCTTGTCGCTAAGACGAATTTGAGCAAGCACAGCATCCGTAAGTCGTGGGGAGACGTTACTCGGCAACAGGACTTGTCTCGCTTTGAGGCCTCTGGTTTGGATGGCTTCCAGGAGCGCCTTGTCCATGCTGCTACTCCTGTTTTGCTCCTCGCCAGTGACAACAATGGCTTCGTCGGCTGTCTCGAGCATGGGCAGGTCGAGGGGGCTATCACTAATGGCCAAAACACGGAGTTTCTCCTCGCGCTGCAGTCTCGAAACAATCCGAGCCTTCACCTCCGCCGTAACAACCATGTCATCAGAGATCCTTGTACCTCCAATGACTTTGACTGTTTGGGACAGTCCTTCTCTCTCCAGTACTTTCTCCCACACTCGCCGAATACCGCAAGTCACAACGACAACACCTACATGATCTTGAGTTGCCATCATTCTAAAAAGCGCCTTGAACTCCGCATGAATCTCGGTTCTGAACGCCACGCTATCGCATAGGCCCTCAAATTCCTCTTCGTTGGCTGCTTCTTCGTACAGAAGCACTGCCTGGAGAAATGCCGCCTCAGAATAGCCCAGCGGGCCGCCAAACAACTTTCCAAGAGGCGCCTGGACGTCCCAAAACGTCTTTCCTGTGTCTTCTGTGGATATGGTCTTGTCTGCGTCGACTACAACCATCGTTTGCAAGTTATTTTGGCCGAACAAAATCTCACTGACCCTAGCGTCGACGCGAGCCATGTTCGGCACGGTCCTAACTCTGTGGGAAAATTGTATCAGCCTCAAGGCAGTGAGAAGTTGGTTGTCTGGCTGTTCGGCCAGGCGAGAGAAGAGAATGCCATGTTCTTGACAGAGACGTGATAATTCATCCACCTCAGTTCGCTTCCACGCCTCCAAATCCAGCATAGGCAAATACTGGCGCTTTCTATTTGTATCTTTCTGTCGTTGTTCATGTAGGGTTTTGGCTGGCATGTTCAGATATATGATATGGGTGTAGGTGGCCATATCATTTGGCGTATACACAGCCTTGTAGTGTCCTTCACATCCGAACATGAAATGCCCCGTGACTATTGCGGTTTTCCCGCTTTGGCGACAGTTGTGAGCAATCCGATCAATTGCTTGGGCTCGCCAGTGATTTGCCGTGCTGTCGTCAAGTTTCTGAAATCCATCCAGCCCGCCAGGGACAAGGGACGAAATCATCGCAGAGCCTTCGTAGAATTCGTATTCACCATGATTGAGACGCTTCCGTAACTCCTTCAAAAGAAAAGACTTTCCCGAACCTGGCAATCCGTAGAGCCCGATTACCGCAGGTTTCGTATCCGCACGTAATTTTGGGCTGGATTCTGGAGTAGCCGGTTGGGGAGAAGATTTAAAAGGGTCCATTTTCCGAACGATTATCCCAAAATTTTAGAAGGTGTAAAGAATCCAATGAATTGAGAGATGACCTATGCATCAGGGATATCTGAGGGACAAATTATATCGTGCTCGTTCTCATGAGATGAACTAGATGCAAATATATAGGCCAAGTACAAGGTGTAGCAGC